CGAGCGGCTACCCCGGGAGGTGGCGCACAGGCCTCGGACCGGTCATGTACATGAGCTCCGCGGCACCAGGAATGTCTCTGTGATAGGAAACGTGCTCGCCGCCTCCCCGAACCGTTAACCCAGCATCCCTGAAAGACAGAGCTTCCTGCCCCAGGGTGCTGCGCCCAGGCGGGTTGGAAAGAACAAAATCCTTTGTGAGTCTCACCTGTGGGCGTGGAACACAAGTCGTTTGATCCAGGTTTAGCAGAATTAGAATGGACGGAGTTACTTTAGCTTTGCGTTGCTTTCCGTTTCTATAACATGGGTGTACTGCACGAAGTGTGTAATAGCTGTGCCAGCCCAGTGCTGGAAGAATTAGGGGGTGTCTGTCTACACTCCAACGGCTGTAGCCCTTCAGTGTAGACCGGGGTGGGCAATAATTTTTGATGGTGGGGGCCACTCCCAAGATTTGGATAAGTGTTAAAAAGGCCACTCATTTCTATAGACGGGGTGTGGGGTCTGGGATGGCAGTTGGGTGCAGAAGTGAGCTTGGGGTAGAGGACTGGGGTGCAAGGGAGAGCAGAGTAGAGTATGAGGGAGTTTTGTCTTTCGATCTGGTCAGGGAGGAGATATGGACACAGGAGAGGATTCTGGCCTGGAGGAGAACATAGGAAGGAATGCAATGTCTGGGAGAGAGTTGTGACTTGGGGAGGCGAGGAGGTGGTGCAGAGGGTTTGGATGGTGACCTGGGGCAGATCCCATTGTCTGGTTTCTCTGAAGCCTGGCACCTGGGGCAGAGTGCCACAAGGAGCAGCTAGCTCCATGCCACTTTAAAGTGGCTGACTGCTCTGGGCCTGTGGAGCCCAGTGGGATAGCCCATGGGCTGGACTGGGGGGGCCTGCCCCAGTGTAGACACTGACAACCCCAAAGGGAGGGATTTTCCCATCATCACAAGCAGGGAAGGGAGCTGATCCACTGTGCTCCCGGAAGGGGTGGAGCACTGGGTGGCAGGGCCTTGGGTACCAGCCCTCAGCACCAGTTGGAGTGTGCCATGCCACCTTCCCTCCCAGCTCTTATTGCTTCCTGGAGTATGCCACATGGTATTCTGGTGGTGATTTAAAGGGCCTGTGGTTTTGGCACTGACACAGTAGCAGTGGCCACCATGAGCCCTGGGCCCTTTAGAATTGCTGGGCCTCTGTGTAGTTGCCCCCTCTGCTTCGCTGTCAGTGGGATTGAGCAAATAAATCTGTATTCTGAGAGGGACTAGATAGTTCCATGGAAGGATATGTGTGTGGGGAATGTCACTGTCTGTGCAGGAACAAAAATTAAATGTGATGGAAGATGCACAGTGGGTTTATCAGAATTCATGCAGATTAGAGGGTTACAAGAAGTTGGTTTTAAGTTAAAATTTTTAGCAATGTGTTCTGCTGCTAATGTTGGCACTGGTTGTTGACTGTTTCACCAGTGCCAGTGGGGCTTTGAAATACTGTCTTTGATTTGTGTTTGTTTCTCTGTTCTGCGCAATAACATACACGGCAAGCTTGGAGTGCTGGATCACAGGCAGTGTTTCGTGGAGCATAGGAATGGTGGTAGTAGTATCATCAGAGCTAAGGTGATGAGACAAGGGGTGCATGCTGCTGCATTTCAGTGAATGCTAAGATGGACTTTAATCAGTGGTTTCAACTACTTCTGAACTTCTTTTTTAATTACCTCTCTTTTGTAAGGAAACTTTCTTCTGTTAACTGTAGAACACTATGTATTTGATCCATTTTTAACACTCAGGATAGTGGTGTTTTTATATCACTATTCAAATGGGTACCAGAGAAATTCTGTCCTCGCAGTTGTCTAAGGGTAACTTTTCTCAGCAGCTGCAGCTAATAAAACAATATTATGCACCAAAGAGACTTGTTGTAATTCTCTACTATTCTAACAAGGTCATGCTGTATTAGTTACATATTATTTACGTAGTACTTGGAGGTACAGTGACTCTTCCTAGAATGCTCTCCTCCTAAAATATTATATAACTGCAGCATGGGATTAGCTGCTATTAGATAACCACAGCATGGGATGGATCTCTTACACATAGCAGGGCTTGTCCTTGATTAACCTCCAAAACAGTAGAATTGAAAAACACAAATAGCTTAAAATCCATCTAAGGTTTCCTGACCAATGCAGAGTGAACATAAGGGGGAGAGACTGCCTGAGTCCCCCACTGGCCCATGCTTCCTGCAGTGCTTTTGCCTTTGAAGTGCTGTTATCGACTAATCGAATAGTAAGTGCAAATTGCATCGACAATTCAGTTAGCCAGTTAATCTAAATTTAACATCCCTACTCAAGGCCACATAATCCTGGGCTGAATGACAGATTCCCTCACTCCTAAAATCATCAATATTCTGTAAAAAACAAATAATATTCTAAACCACTCCAAGAATCCATTCCTCTAAAAATTAGTGTTCATCTGGCAAATAATTCTATTAAGGATTTGGTTCTATGTCTCTCTTTTTGGGGGGGGGGGGGGGGGG